TACTACTACTACTACTACTACTAATACTACGACTTTCACGATAGTACGTTACGGCGTGCACGGAGCGCTAGCGTCTCCGGCCGCCGCGCGGTATCGATCGCATTCGACGTGTACGTACACGCAGAGACCCTTTGGTGTTGTTCGGTCGGCATTGACCTCCCGTCGCCGCCGCGCGGAAAAAGGTGAGCGCGGGCGCGTGCGCGTGCGAGCGACACGGGAGTCGGCGCGGGTGCGGGCGGCGGTGCGCGTGCGCGACCTGCACCGGACACAGTCCCCGCGCTTTGCGAGTTTTTCCTCGCTCGCGGGGGGGGGGTGGCTAGCACTCGCCGTCTCCTCCGCCACCACGTGTAAAGATTTCCCTCCGCGCGCCGCCAGATCACGACGACGACTAACATCCCCCGTGTGCCGTCGATATAATAAAATTATAATAATATAATATTTTATACGTATAAGCGATTTTTTTTACTCCTTATCATTATTATTATTATTATTATTATTTATTTATTTATTCTGCGCGACCGTCAATAGTTTGTCTCCGAGCCGATCACATCTGCGGCGTATAATAGTAATAATAATAATATAAATATTATAATGCGATAATATGTATGGGTGCAACGTATAATATGCGTTTATTTTCACGAGAATAATATTAGGTACAATCATGAAATCCTGCAGATCTTTGCAACAGTGTTTACCGTAGTATACAGATATAAAACGCACATTACAGACACGTACAGCTATATATTAATGTGTACGAAATGATTCGGTAGAGCGTTAATTTTCGCGGTTTTTTTGTTTTTTGTTTTGTTTTAAATAATATTTATAGAATGTCTCCTGTACGGTAATCGGTTTTGTAGGTAGTTATATATATATATTCCGACTGGAGTGGTGGTACGTGTATTTTGTTCGACCATATTAAATCGTATTATGAACCCATCTCATCGAGAAATAGTAAATTGTATTATAAACATTTATTTTGTATATATATATATGTATGTATCTGTGTATCCGTGAGAACAAGTACGGTCACATTATATGGCATTCCGACGCGTAAACAGTTTTGAGCCATATCGGGTCTGCCCGACCACCCTTGGCCCAGGAGAAGTCAGTCGTTGTCACTACAGCAGTACAGCCCCTCTAAATCCATAAATTTTGTGTTAACATACGCTGTTTAAATAAAAATATAGTGGTTAAATCTCACTGAATGTAATTATTTATTTAGGTGTGTACATCACGCATATAACGACCGTACACATATTTTTGTCTTAAACAGTTATAATATAGACATGAGGTAGTAATATTAATACGATATTTTTGTATGTATAAGATAATAGCAATTTTAATTTCATTAAATTAAATTTGTAATATCTGCGTAAAATTGAATTATATTGTGTTTTAATGTTTCACTGTACATAAAGAAATCATATATATTAAATAAATGTCCCACACATTCCTGAGAAATGTACCGCAATTAATTTCAATAACTCTATGATATGTATGAGAATGCAATAAAATAATATAATTACAATCAGAACATTAGCAATATTTATACAAATTAATAATCGTATATACTATATAATACACAAATCAAAATGTACATAATTTGACCCAAAAGATAATATTTTGTTTTTAGTTATATGATTCATGTCATTTTATAGAATACAGTAAATTGTTATACAAATAATTAATAACATGTGTATAATATTTATAAAAAAAATTTTACACAACTGATTTTATAGAATAATTATTACTTTTATTTATCAAATATATGTAGAAAAAATAATATAGAAAAAAGTGAGGAAGTGTACCGTTCTACTATACATTTGGCGTCAAGTGGAGGTCACTTTAATGGATGACATGTTTAATTTTTTCAGAAAGCATTACGTTTTTATTAGTTTTTAGTTATTATAATAGTATACCTATATCTACACCATATTATACTATTATTATTAATTTTTGAATCAATTCTTCTTCTTTTCGTGTCAAGTCATTCTTTTGCAGTTATATTTTATACATCGAGTAAGTTGCCAATTTTATAGCGTTGTCATTAATCATGTCCACATTTTCTTTGTTACGCGTTCCTTCAAAGTTAAAGCATTTATATATCTGTTTATCGCCTTGACATCTCTTCCACATTCACACTTGTTATCTTTCGACAATCCCCATTTGAACAAATTCTTTCTTATTCATCCACATTCCGCTTTAATTCGATTATTTTAAGTCAATAAAACCACTTCACCATAAAGCAGTGGAATAGATTCAGGGTAAAGAAAATTTATATCTTAAAATT